CTTCGCGCCGCGGGGGCTGCGTGGACGGCGGGAAGGGGGGAGTCGGCGCCGCCCCGTCCAGGACAGGAGAGGGGGGAGGAGGAGCAGGAGGAGGAGGAGGAGGAGGAGGAGGAGGAGGAGGAGGAGGAGGAGGAGGAGGAGGGGGAGGGGGAGGGGAGGAGGAGGAAGAGGAGGAGGAAGGAGGAGAGGAAAAGGAGGAGGAGGAGGAGGAGGAGGAAGAGGAGGAGAAGGGAGGGAGGGGGGAGGGCGGGAGGGAATGCAGGAGGGAGGAAGGGTGGGAGGGAGGAGGAGGAGGAGGAGACAGAGGAGGAGGAAAGGAAGAAGGGGAGGCGGAGAAGGAGGAGGAGGGAGGAGGAGGAGAGGGATGGGAAGTGGTTACAGCTGCCCTCGAGAGGAGTACAGGGAGGATGGGGAGGAGGAGGGCAGTTGGGATGAGAAGGGTGGTGACGATGACATGTGCCCATCGGAGCTGTCTGCTGGTTGCTGCGCAGAGAAAAGCTCCAGGACCACCCTTCCAGCCGAAGGATCGTGTCAGACCAGAAGGATGGTGAGGCGGAGGAGGAGGCGGAGGAGGAAGAGGAGGAGGAGGAGGAAGAGGAAGGGGGGGGGTTGGGATGAGGGGAACGGGAGGGAGTGAGGAGTGAGTGGAGGAGGAGGCAGAAGAAGAGAGCTCAGCATAACGCCAGCACGCTTCACTGATACTGCTACGCATGTTTCCTCCCGACCCAGGCCCGCTCATCAACAGCATGTAAATACACATACCGTGCTTCACCGCAGAGTGCTCAATCCAAGCAAGTGAACGTGCCCACTGCGGTGGTACAAGTCCAGGATATGGGAGGGCCAAAATGGAGAAGCTCCTGCGGTTCCCCTTGTGACCGTTTTTTGCGTTCCCGGGTAACGGCCGTTACCCAGGGAGTCGGAAGGGAGGGTAACGGTAACGGTGGCCGCGGCGTGCGCCCGCCAGGGCGCGTCCGCGCCACCGGCGCATCAATCGCCTGTGTGCACCGCGCCCCCTGTGTACACGACAATGCCCAATGCTTGCGTGCAACACAGCGCCACCTGTGTACACACCAGTGCCTCCGTACACCACAACAGCCGCGTGCACTGCAGCACCACGTCGCCTTTGCGCACCGCAGTGCCTGCGTATACTGCAGCAGCTGTGTGCGCAACAGCGCCCGTGTACATCGCATTGCCTGCGTGCACCAGAAAGCCAGCGTAAAACTGGATCACCTCAGGATTCACATATAATACAACAAATCTTCCCCAATCAGAGCTTGCCTCTGTATGGGGTCCGTCCTAGCGGATTCATATGGTTAAATGAGGTTCGTCGCCAATTTCGGTGGTCAGACTGGGTGCCAAGGTGCCCGGGTGCCCGGGGGTGCCCGGGTGCCCCGGTGCCTATGTGCCCGGGGGGTGCCCAGGTGCTTATATCGCCCTACAGCCCAAAAGCCCAATAGCCCTATAGCCTTATAGCCCAATTGCCTTACAGCCCTATAGCCCTATATCCCTATAGCCCTATAGCCCTATAGCTCTATGGCCCTATAGCCCTATAGCCGCATAGCCCTATAGCCCTATAGCCCAATCGCCCTATAGCCATATAACATTATAGCCCTATAGCCCTATAGCCATACAGCCCTACAGCTCTATATAGGCCAATCGCCCTATAGCCCTATAGCCCTGTAGCCCTATTGACCTATAGCCCTATGGTCCTGTAGCCCTATAGCCCCATAGCCCTATAACCATAATCAGATTATGAATTGGGTTTTTCCCTGGTATCATTTAATATACGAATGCTCCCTGGATTATACAGCCAACCATTGTTCCCTACCTAGGCTCTGCCTAGAAGGGTTCTTACTCGGTAAGCTTAAAGAGCCGGGCAGTGGGGCCCGCCCCGGGCGGTTCCCCCAGTATCCGCCCCGCGGTTCCCCCAGTGACGTTCCCTTAGCTTCGCGTTGCTTGTCTCATCTTAGCTTAGCTTATTTCATCTTACCTTAGCTTAGTTTCATCTTACCTCAATTTATCTTAGCTTAGCTTACCTTCATCTTAGCTTCGCTGAGCTTTAGCATAGCAGAGCACAACATAGCATAGCATAGCGTAGCATAGCATAGCGCAGCATCGCATATCATAGCATGGGTGTAATTCCCTACCTAGGTTCTGCTTAGAGGGTTAGCTTAACTTAGCTTAGCTTAGTTGATTAAGTTATGAATGCATGTATGCATGAACTCAACGTGGGGTTAAATACTAAATCCCTGCATTTTTAATGCATGATCCGCACGCGGAGCATGCATTAAAAACGGCACTGTACTCCAAATCCCTTATTCATCGACCCCCCCCCTAAAAAACGGGACCCCCCTCCAAATACGACCCGATATTCCAGACCCCCCTCGGTGACGGGGCGCCTCACTAAACCGGACCCCTTGCGCTCCAATCCAAAGATAGAGCCCTACAGTGACAAACCGGACGCCCCCAGTTGCAAGAAAGGCGCCATAAAAAACCGGACCTGGGGGACGATGAATAAGGGATTTGGAGTACAGTGGATGCCAGTCCACAAGAAACCTTCCACCACAAGAAACCCAACCCTGAGGCCCCAGGACGTCCAGTGATTTCTGGTGGGGGGCCGTCGCGCTGTCCACCGCAGAACCGTCGAAACTCAAGAAACGTGCGCGTCTTCGATCTCGCGCGCTGCCTCTCCGAGAAGATGATCCAAGATGCCCTGAGCCTCAGTGGCCCTCGCTGAAGAAGCAAGAAACACGTTTACCAGCCTGGAACATATCCCTATCCCTATTCTGGGCATCTCCTCATCACGATGCCAATCTTAGGGACTCCCTTATTCCCTACCTAGGCTCTGCCTAGAAGGGTTCTTACTCTGTAGCTTAAAGGGGCCGGGCAGTGGAAAACGCCCCGGGCGGTTCCCCCGGCATCCGCCCCGCGGTTCCCCCAGTTGCGCCCCCTGGGTTCACCCAGCTTGGCTTAGCTAAACTAAGCTAAGCTTAGCTTAGCTTAGCTTTGCCTAGCCTAGCTTGGCTTAGCTTTGCCTAGCCTAGCTTCGCTTAGCTTTGCTTAGCCAGGCTTAGTTTAGCTTTGCTTAGCTTAGCTTAGCTTAGCTTGGCTTAGCTTAGCTTAGCTTAGCCTAGCCCAGCTTAGCTTAGCTTCGCCTAGCTTAGCTTACCTTAGCTTAGCTTAGCGTAGCATAGCGCAGCGCAGCATTAGCACAGCATAGCACAGCATAGCATAGCATAGCATAGCATAGCATAGCATAGCTCAGCATAGCATAGCATAGCATGGCATAGCACTGCATAGCATAGCATAGCGCAGCATAGCATAGCATAGCATATCATATCATTGATTGATTAGCATAGCACATCACATCATAGCATAGCATAGCATAGCACAGCACAGCATAGCATAGCGCAGCATAGCATTGCATAGCATAGCGCAGCATAGCATATCATAGCATAGCCTAGCATAGCGTAGATGCAGGTGTAGATGTTAATGTAGCTGTCGGTGTAGATGTAGATGTTGCTTTCCTAGATGCTCCAACTCCTAGGTAGGGTCGCACTGGGATAATTTATAATAGGATTGTTCAAGGAAGCCCTTTGAAACGTGGAGCGCCTATGGATTCCACATAACCCAATTTGTACGATAGATTTTAAAAGGAATTGCTATGAAAGGCGGAGCATCTCTGGATTCTACCAAAAAACCTTTATCTGATAAAGGAATCACGGTGTAAAGTGGGGCGCCTCTGAGTTCCACAAAACATGTTTCACATACATGTTTTACAAGAGTCCCTATGGAAAGTGGAGCGCGTAAGGATTCTACACGCGTGCACCACAACGTCTGCGTACACCATCACGAATGTGTACACCACAGCAGCCGCATGCAACACAGCGTCGCTGTACACCACAGTGCCTGCGTGCACCACAGCGCTTGCGTACACCGCAGCGCCTGTGTACACCGCTGCAGCCGTGTGCAACACAGCGCCGGTGTGCACCACACTGCTTGCGTGAACCACAGCTCCCGCGCACACCACAGCGCCTGTGGTAGAAGGCGCGGGGCAGCCTGGTCTCTGTCTTCTCCATGGCGCTGGATCTTCACTCGTTACGTGCAGTAAAGACAGGTGGCAAGGACCCAAAAACCTTGGACACCGAGGTTGGGATTTCTTGGCAAAAGCTGTCCAGTGAAAACGGTAAAGGACAGGCCACAGAGGCAAGGACACAAGCGTACCCTCGAGAAGGCGCGCGTCCTTAATCGGCGCGTCGACTGTATCGCGATCAACCTTGAACGCCCGTGCCGGCGTCGCCGCCGCGTCAACGCGGCGCGGCCACAAGCCCCTGGCCAGTGGGAAGAGAGCCCCCACACTCTGCATCTGCCGCCCCACCGACCTGCCGCCCTCCGAGCGGGCACCCTGGCAGCGATTCCGCCCGACCTATGCGCACCGCAATGGCCTGCAAGCGCCACAACGCGCATGTGAGCACCCAAGCATGCCTGTCAGCCCCACCACCATGCCTGTGAGCCCGGCGCCGCAACAAGTGGGGAGGCTGCGAGCGCCGAAACATGTTTGTGAGCACCAGTGCGTGCCAAAAATGTTCACCTTATGGTCTTACCCCAGGAAGTTGCCAGACTGGAGCAGTCAGAACCCAATCGTTTGCACAATGCGAGTCTGCGATTGGATGGCGACTCGACCGCATGATGTGGCAACTCGCAGACACATTCACACTGGGATTGAGAGTGGTTCGCCCACAATTGATGGAGCTGGTAGAAGCTTTCGTGGAAGTGTGCGCAGAGCAAAGGCTTTAGCCTGATTTTCTCACAGAGCCGCCTTCCATCAGCGCAGATGTTCGAAGCCGCGCGCCTTATGACCAGAAGGAGTGAGGAAATCTGAAACGACGATTCGATTTTGAAAACGAGTCGCCTTCCATCCGTGTAGCAAGCGACAGACATGATTTTGGACATAGAGGTTTCTCACAACTGGCCCCAAACAGTGGATTGTTGCACTATCG